CCTCTTCCTTCTCTTCCCTTCCCTCTTCCTCCCCTCTCCTTCTTTCATTTCCTTTCCTCCCCTCTTCCTTCCCTCCACTTTTCCTTTCCTCCCCTCTTCCTTCCCTCCTCCTTTCATTTCCACTTCCTTCCCTTCCCTTCTCCTTTCCTCCCCCTTCCTTCCCTCTCCTTCCTTTCTTTTCCTTCCCTTCCCTTTGTTTTCCTTTCCTCCCCTCTTCCTTTCCTTTCCTTTCCTTTCCTTCCCTTCCCTTCCCTTCCTTTCCCTTCCCTTTCCTTTCCTTTCCTTCCCTTCCCTTCCCTTCCCTTCCCTTTCCTTTCCTTTCCTTTCCTTTCCTCCCCTCTTCCTTTCCTCTCCTCTCCTCTTCCTTCCCCAACCCATCCCAGATTCTCACAATATAGCTTTGCAATAAACTAGAATTCTCCCATTGGGGTGACAATTCCAATCTGGTTTACTTGGCGCAGCCAGCCTCAGTCTTGTAAGTCTGAATGTACGGCCCTCCCTCCCTCCCTCCCGCCTCCTTTACTCCCCGAAAAGCTAGGGAGGGTCCCTTCCAAGTCTCTTTCTTTGCCCCTTACGCAGCAGGGGGCTAAGCCACCTCTTATCCGATCGTTCTCTTTGCCTCTGTCTCCCAAGGTCTTTCCCTCACACCGTGGTCTTCCATTCCCCACCTCCAGGATGTGAGAGATCTCCAAAGGATGGTGGTCTTGGCCCCCCACCCCAGAGGAGCTACCTGTTCTTCCCCAACCCTGAGCATCATCTTCCCTTGTCAGCAGCAAAGACGGAGGGGAGCACAGCGACCTGACCCGGGTGCCGATCCCTCCCCAGCTGTACAAGTGGTGCGCCCCAGAGGTGATCTTGGAGAGGACGGCAACTTTCAAGTCGGACGTTTACAGTTTCTGTGCCGTCATGCAGGAGGCGTTTACAGGTGCAGCAAAGAATGAAACACTCGTTTTTGTTTGCTTTTCCTTCTTGGTTTTGTACTTAAAAAAAAATTAATCGGTGTTTTTCCTCTTTGAGGCTAAAGATTGTCTAAGGTAAAGGTTCCCTTTAATGCCTCCAACTTGGCCCCCAAGGTCCAGTTATCCTCGGCGGGAGATCAGACTGTTCCAAAAACAGTCTACGAAGAGCAGAAATGCAGTCCGAACCCAAAGTAAAGATAATTAGAAATTAAAAAAAAAACCAACACAAACCACACTGAAGTAATTAACACGGCAGGCCAGGGTGATAAATTGCAGGCTTCCAACAGATAACGCAGCACCCACAGTTGGGAGGATGCCAAAACCCAGATAAGCCTCGACAAAGATAATGCACGCTTTGCTTCCAGCAAGGAGCTGTGTGCAAACCGCCCCACTTATATCCTGTTCTCCCAGCTGCAACTAATGAAAGGGATCAGGGCCTTTTTCTCTCCCGGAAGCCACGTTGCTCCTTTCTCCGTTCCTCCCTGCTGCATTGCTCTTTTAAACTCCTTCCCCACCCCCATGGCAACTATAAACTGGGCGTAGAAGATGTTTTTATGAGTTGACCGTGTGTTTTTTTCCCAGACACCATTCCCTGGGAGGGGTTCGACGGTCCATCCATCAAAGATCGCATCACCTCCGGCCAGTGGTTGGAAGCTGACGCTAGGCTCCCCAAGCCTTATTACGACATGGTGAAGACGGGCCTAGAATCCAGGCCCAAGCAGCGCACGATGAACCTGCAAGATATTCGCTACGTTCTAAAGAACGACTTGAAAGTAAAAAGTGGAGGGATTTTAATTTTAATTTAATTTGTCTTAAAAGTTGCTAAGTTTGGAGAGCCCTGAATTTAAAGGTTTCCATCACGTTCCCCATTTCCCTTCTTATCTGTTCCGTGGGGTACCGCAAGGTTCCGTCTTAGGCCCAGGACTCTTCAATATCTTCACGCGCGACAGATGAGGGAATAGAAGGGGAACTTAGCAAATTTGCAGGTGATACTAAGCTGGCAGGAATAGCTAACACCCAAGAAGATAGGCTCAAGATCCAGATGGATCTCGACAGACTTGCAACACTTGGGCCGTATTTAACCAAATGAAATTCAACGTAGAGAAAAGGAAAGTCCTACACTTAGGCAAGAAAAACCAAAAGTACACATATAGACTGGGTGAAACCAGGTTTAACAGCAGTAACTGTGAGAGGGATCTCGGAGTCTTAATGGACAACCAGCTAAATAATGAGCCAGCAGTGTGCTGCAGCAGTCCATTGTGTTTGCCAGTACAACAAAAAGGTTTGCCATCACCGTCCTATTATATATATGTCTATTTTTATTTCTTCTATTTTTTTTCTATATTAAAAAATGGATGTGTGTGTGTGTGTGTGTGTGTGTGTGTTCCAGTATAACACTGGAATGCCTCAAGCAATTTCAACCAAATTTGGTACACAGACAGCTTACTCTCTGGAAATAAATACTGTGGGGGTAAGACACCCCTAACATCCCTCAGAGTGTATGTTCTTAAGATGCAGCCTGTTGTGCCTGCAAATGGCTTCTACCGTACTGCCTTAAAATGGCTTCTACTGTACAGTGCTGTGGAGTTGCCATGGTAATGGCTTCACAGTACTCCACAAGGGGGCTGTCTCTGGTAACGGAGAAGGTCCAACATTACAAATTACGTTTGTTCTGGGTCGCCAAAATAAGGGCTGCTTCTGTCTAATACAGGATTAGGATAAATAAATACCCAAGCAATGCCGGGTTATTGGCTAGTATAATATAAAGTAAGACAGGATACTCCCAACACTGGAAGTTTTTAAGAAGAGATTGGATAACCATTTGTCCGAAGTGGTGTAGGGCTTCCTGCCTAAGAAGGGGGTTGGACTAGAAGACCTCCAAGGTCCCTTCCAACTCTGTTATTCTATTCTATTAACAGAAAAAAACTACGTCCATCAAATTTAAATGTAAAAAATGAATAATGGACCACTATCTGGACAAAGGGTTCTGCTAACCGATTCTTTGTTTTCCTTTCTCATTTTTTTAAAAATTTTGCAGGAGTTACTAGAATCTCGCAAACACCGTCCCGGGCAGGAACCAGAATCTCCCAAGCCTGAAATTCACTCCAATATCAACATCTGCTTGCCTTCCGCCTCGGCTTTCGAGGTGAAGAAGCCAAGATTGCAAGACGAAAAGGCTCACATTGGTCAGTGTCCTCTTCGGGGGTTGAGAGGCTGTGCATAAGGGAAAAGGGGGTAAGATCTCTGCTTGGTGAGCTTTCCCCCACTGCCCAGGAATTCTGAAATGGAGGGGTAAATTTGGAGAGGGGGAGAGAGAGCAGAGGTTAGTAGGTGCAGTAGGCTATTTGGGCCGGAAATTGGCATCAATTTGCAAAGTCTGGCAACTTTAAGCAACTCAAATATTGTTACGTCGGATGAATCAAGTCACCTGTTAATTTCTTTTTTCTTTTTTTATAAACTTTATTAAAGTTTTACAGTTTTAAAAACAAATCATATTTAAAAACTTTTGCAATACATTGTGACATCAGCTTTTCCGTATTAATTCATTCATATATAAAATATATATACACACATACACATACATACATACACACACACACACACGTATATACATATATGTGTGTGTTTTCTTAAGTTTTCGCGGGTACTTACATGTATGGTATTCAGCTTTGTTCGGGTATTTTCCCACGTCATTGTAGTTGTGCTTTTAAAGTTGTAGCAACGCTTCGGCAGAATCTCATCTGCCATTATCAGGCTTCTGTATTGTGTTCGTCTGTGAGTCAGACTTTCACAGCCGTTTCAGTTCAAACAGAAACGGCTTTTTTAATTTAACGAAATTAAATGCCACCTTCAATGAACATTATGACTATGAAAATAAAACACAAACAGACATCCTTCACGTTCTATACACTGAATTGAAAACCCCTGATATTGCATTAATATTGCACTACACAGTAGAATTCAAAAGAGCTACAGCCCTGGGATAGAAGCTGTTTTTCAGCCTATTTGTCCTTGTTTTTATTATTATTGTCCTGTACCATCTGCCAGATGGTAATAGTTCAAAAAAGGGGTGTGTGGCCAGGATGACATGGATCTTTGAGGATGTTTTGAACTTTCTTAAGGCAGTGGGAGCTATAAAACTCTTCCACAGAGGGGAGAGGGCAACCCAGGATCCTCTGGGCAATGACGTTAACCCTCTGGAGTGCTGCCCTGTCTGCCCCTGTGCAGTTGGCAAACCTTACACAGGTGCAATAAGTTAAAGTCCTTCTCCACTCCGCAAACCCCACTCCCTTCTACCACTGATGATGTTCCCTAGTTTGGCAGTGAAATGTCTGCAGGAGAATCGCCAGCTCAGAGGACACCAGCAACCCCCACCAGTCCTTCTTCTCCTCCTCCTCCCACAAGATTTATATACCAATATTAGCTGGGTACCCGTGCTTCGCTGCAAAACTCTGTGATCAGGCAAGTTTTTGGGGAGGAAAATAAGGGGAAGAAATTGGGCCTCTGCCTACCAGCATCCGTCGGTATTCATCTGGCTAGTGTCCTGTCAGAGTGTGAGAAGAGTTGAGGGCTGTTTGGAAACTGAAAGATTATTTGCTGTGTGAGCAAGGAGACAGCAAGGAGCCTGGGCGTGGCTTAGCTCAACTGTTCTGTACTAAAGCTGCTTGGTGTTGTGAAACTGAAACTCCTCTGCTTGTGTTTTGCATTTGGAAGAGATTTCTTTCCAGGTGGGGAGGGGGAGTAGAACTCCTTAGCATCGGAGCGTGTTAATAATAATAATATAGGAAATACTAATAGCTCTGATGGTCATTTTGAAAAATCCTTTCTTAGTGAGCCCCTAGAAGCCAAGAGGAACATATGCGCCAAACTTCAAGTTTGTAGGCTTTACGGTTCTGGAGATTTTGTGATGATGTGTGAGTGGTATTTCGCTTTTATATATATAGATACTTACCCTGAGAGTGTTCGTGAGAATGTTGTTTTCTTCTTGGTGATTAAAAAGAAAGCAAATCCCACTCTGTTCTAGCACTGATGATGCTACCCAGTTGGGTGATTAAACATCTGCAAAAAAACAACAAGGCTCAGAGAACGCTGAGGACCTGATACAAATTTTGGCACACAGCTCCTTTTAAAGGACCACGTCGAAATAAGACAGATCTCACTGGGCTTGTTGAATAAATGCAATTGCTGTGGGATTTGTACCATCAGGGCTCACAGATGGATAGTCCTCAACTTACGGCTATAAATTCCCTAGTTTGCATGATGATGTTCTGTGCATAATGTCAGTTGCCCCGTTCTACCCTGCAGCCACCCCTGCGTGAATCAACCTCTTGTCTCCAGCCAGCCAAGCACACAAAAACCTGTCATAGTCATTGACTTTGCCAGTGAGATATAATGGTTAAAGCGCCAGACTAGAAAGTGTGAGACTGGGAGTTCTAGTCCTGCTTTGGGCATGAAACCCGGTTGGAGGACTTTGGGCCAATCACCAGCAGGCTCTGAGTTTTAGTCCCACCTCAGCTATGAAAGCCAGCTGTCTGACTTTAGGCCAATCACTAGGA